TTGGCCATGGGGACCGACATTTAGGGTCTAAGTAAATTTATTAGAGTCTGGAAAAATATTTAAAGTCAGAACAGATCTGTCTATGTCTATTTAACACATAAGATTTCAGAATATAACGGCATTATTGTGGAAACAACCACCATTACCCCTATTCCCAAGAGTCTTAGCTTTTGTTTCGCGAAAAAAGAAGATCATTGCAACCGGTTTGGCAACTGTTTCTGCTGTAGCTTATGCTACCCGCACTGTCTTTGCTCGGAAATAGTGGATTGACATCTGGAAGGACAAACATCTCGGCATTGTCAATGCTATCGTAAATCTCCGCCAGCAATACGCAGAGGGCGAGGATCCATACGTTTGTAGCTTCTAGTAAATAAGTCTCATCAATCATATCAGTTAATGTACTTAGCTACCATAATTTATGACTATACAATAAGCTTTACATCCTCTTCTTCTAGACTGTCAGTTAATGTACTTAGCTACCATCATTTATGGTCTGTTTCTTTGGTTATTGGTCTGCTCAGTCATATGTTTACTTCCGCGAATATTGATAGTGTATGTTGTTTCATATTTGAGAGCAAATTCATAGTGCAGCCTCTCATTTTCTTTTGCCATGTCCCTATAAATAATTACATGTTGCTGAGCATAACATATCTATAAGCAATCCGTTGACCATGAAGATGTGAATCAAATTTCAAAAGCATGCTCTGTTTCTATAGTCTGCCAGAGTTTTATAGTCTCATTGGCCCCTCCAAAACTGCGATTAATACAATGTTTGTAAAAGAAACTAGACTGTGGACTTGGTGAGAAGGATTTAGCCAATACCAATGAGGGAAATGGAATCTGCACCAATGTTCAAAGTAATTGTCCATGACTGTGATAGTCTCTGATGTAATGGGGAAAGGGATTTAGCCAAGAGGTAACAACTCATCTAGATTCATTGCAAAGAGTGGATAAGACATAAAAATGGCTCGTGATGTAACACATCTAAAACAGAAAAAAAAAAACACTGCAAGAGATTCAAGCTTCCCATATTGAATATTCAATTCATGCTCAACTACCTTACTACAACCATCTATCTAATTCATCAAGAAAAGCCTGCAACACAAAATCACTTTCAAGCATTCATCACCTCCTTACCATTTTGTAAAACAATCATTATCGCCTATTCAACTCTTTGATCTAGCCATCTCTCGCTTTGCCTTCTCCGCATTGGGACACAAGTTTCCGGAACTTCTCAAATTGTTTCTCCGCCTCACCTTGCTTCTTAAGCACCGTGTATGTAATCCCTTAACAGAGAGATACGTGACCCTAGTATCTTCTCACATA